GCGGGAGCCCCACTTCGACCGCTACCGCAGCTCGGAGGGGCGGGACAAGGACCCCCGGGGCGACCCCCGCGACCCGCACTACAGGTGAGTGGCCCCGAGGGGCGGACGTTGGCGCCCCCTTGTGTGAGAAGCGTTTCGGGCAGCTGGGTGGCGGGCCGGGAGCCGTGCGTGTCCCCTCCGCCCTCTCTCTCGGTTCAAGGTGCTTTATTAGCGTGGCCGGTGGGCGCGATCAGCGTTGCCAACGCAAGCAAAAATAATGAAGTTCACATGAAACAAAACAAAAAATAAAAGTACACTCTCTCTCCCTCCCTCCCTCCCTCCCTCTCCAGGGCTGCATTTCCTCTTCGCTGTGCATCCCTTTAAAGTGTGTTTCGTTACTCCTTAAAAGGTTGTGAAACGTGTTGGCGGTTAGCGCGATGTTTCGTCTGTCGTGGGCTTGGCTTCTGTGTTGCGAGGGGCTGCTCCTGTCGTGACGTGAGGTCTCGGGTTTAGTAGAGAGCTGTGGAACAGCCTTTATAGAAGTCGGGGAGCGGGTGTGACCGAAGTAACCGCTCTAGTATTTGGCTCCTCCGTGCGGGGCTGCTTCTCTCTGTTGTTAATGGTGGTGGAGAAGGTGACTCTGTCCCAGCATGCACACAGTTCACATCGCCGGGTCGTTAGCCTGACGTGAATGAAGAGAACTGTTCCAACCATGTCCAATTCAGAACCCTGTTCTTATTCACATTTTCAGTTGTTTATGTGATGTAGATTTTGCTTGCATGGGAGTATTTCTGTGCGTGTTGCATTGCTGCTTAATGAAGTTAATGTAGACCCCCAGTTGAAGTCCCAGTAACAGCACTTAAATCCAGAAGTATGGATTTAAAAAACAATCTCGATTGTAAATTTGTCAGTACAGTGTGTAACGGGGCTGTAGAAACACCTGTGTACACTGAGGTGTTGGTGTTGAACCCTTGTTGTCTATTTGGTGAAATAGTGAGGGGAATTCACTTCCTTTGTAGAGTGTGGCCTAAGGTGTGTAACGTAGTTTGATTTTTGTCTCCCTTGCATGACTCTGAAAGTGAAGCGTTTCTAAAGTCGTTCTCTGGAAATCGATTGCTTGGCAGAGATGAAGAGTACGAGCGGTACTACCGCGACGACGACTATTACCGCAGGAAAGAGGACCCCTACCCAGATCGCTGCAGGGACTCCTGGAATGGCAGGAGGGACTCCGAAGGTACGCTGGCTCGCCTTTCCTCTTCCTAAGCCGTCGGGACTGCAGGGGGGTGTCGGCGGGTTTGTCTACACGCCCCT